TAGCAAGCAAGATCCTAAAAACCCAAATCTGGATATGGGGAAATTAAGTGATTTCTGTCACTGACTTTGTGTTTTTGCAGTTGAAAAACTTACTCTGCTTAAAAGTATTTGATTTCAATTATCATGGATGAAATGCTCATCTGCTTCAGGCAGCAGCTATGGCCAAAAAATTTCTTTAAAAGTTTCTACTCACGACTCCTGGGGTGGGAAAGGACCCAGCAAGGTGCTGTGGGAAGAGAGAAAAGGCAGGAGCGCTGTACTCCATACCTGCTCCTGCCTGGGTTTCACCAGCATCTTCCCTGGCACTACAAAACTCGGTATTTAGAGATCATCAGCTTTGTAAGTCGTGTCTTCTCGGAAAATATGATCTATCTGTTCCTGGATCAAGGGCAGATGATAAGCTTCTCCCAGTTCCAAAGCTCCCCAAAGTCCAGCCTCCTGGGTAAGGATGAGCCATACTTTCTCTGAGAAGTGTTCACACACAAGTTCACCGCATAAACTTGGATGCATGGGGCCCACCTCAAGCAGGGGCACCCTGATGCCTCTGATGAAGGAAACTAAGATTTTAAGAAAAATGAATGACCAACTTCCCCTTTTTATGATGCTCCTCCAAAACTTGTGGTTATCTGCAACTCTTGCATATATGCCAGGGACTAGGACTGGGGAAAAAATGTAATTCTCGCTTGAGGACATGTTTTTTATTGATTTTTAGAGAGAGAGAGAAAGGGGTGGGAGGGGGAGAGAGAGAGAGAGAGAAACAGCAATCGGCTGGCTTCTGTATGTGCCCCGACCAGAGATCAAACCTGCAACCTTTCTGGTGTATGGGACAATGTTCCAATCAGCTGAGCCACCTGGGCAGGACTGAAAAAATTGTTTTAATTGTGGCAAAATATATGTAACATGAAATTTACTATTTCAACCACCTGTAAGTGTACATGTCAGTGGCATTAGGTACATTTATGTCGTTGTGCAACCATCGCCACCATCTGTCCCCAGAACAGTTCTCACTTTCCCAAACTGCAACTCTGTGCTCATTAAACCATAACTCCCCATTCCGCCCTCTGCCCAGCCACTGGCAACCACCGCCGTACTTTCTGTCTCCATGGATTTGACTACTCTAGGTACCTCATATAAGATAGAAGTTTACTTTAATCCACCCACAAGTATGATTTCCAAAACTGAAATAAAATCGCAATAGCAAGAGCAACTGCCACTAGTAGTTGAGAGCATTTTTTTTGCAAAATAGAAGACAGAATTGTCTTCCTCTGACAGACCAAGTCATATAGATCCTTCAGAGAGAGATGGGGAACAGCTTCAGAAGGCCCTGCAGAGCCGGAGAACTTGCAAAGCACAACGAAGGTGTATCCAGTTCATGGTTCCAAACCACTAAGGCCTCTAGATGCCTCAAGGTGCCTATAAAAAAAGAGGACTGAGGTAGTTCTTGGTGAAACCAAGAAGAGGAAATGCCAACTCCTGCATCTTACTATGAGGAGATAGATCAGGGAGAAGCAAGATGCTGGCCAGATAAGCTTTCCCCAATTTTCTCACGGGAATGGTCCCACATGATCTGCTTCAGATGATAAATATCAGAAGGCCCTAAAATAAGCTGTTAGGACCCCAGTAGAGTCACAGGGTATAAAAGACTAATGAATAACAGTAATATCACCACCCTCCATTTCCTCAGCACTCACTCTGTGCCAGAAAAAGTTCACTAAGCGCTTTATACATATTGTCTCATTTGATCTTCACAACAACTCCATAAGATATAGATACTATGACTCCCTTTGCAACAAACAGAAAAATTATTTCTGAAAAACAGTGACACTCTCAAGGTCACAGTTTATGAAACAGATCCACTGCAAGGCCTCACTCCACAGCCCATGCTTTCAATTAATAGCCTTGAAAGGTAGAAGTTATTTTCATACCCTCATGGCAAAGAAAGAAAATTGTTCATTAAAAATCTCTTGGCTGAAAATGTTTAATGCTTAAAAACAGCCCCGATTAAGCTTCATCAGGTTAAGTGTGGAACAAGCCCCAGATTCAGGATTCCTCCAGTCTCTGGAGGTTTGACATGTGACCCTTGGCCAATCACTCAGCTTCCCTGGCCCTGGGTTTCTCCAGGAACTTGTAAAACAAGACTACTTTCCCCCCTTCTCCCCCTACCTCAAAGCATTCCATAGGGTCAATTATCCATACCGAGATAATAAGGCCGGTATCCAAGGATGAAGCTGTTGACCAAAGGTTTCAGTCCCCTCTCTAAACAATTTTCTGTTCAGTTATCAGAGTTTCCCACAAGAGTTATCAACTAATCAGCAAATAACTATCCAGGACCTACTATGCACACGGTCACAGAGCAGTAAGTGAGCACTAGCCAGAGGCACAGGCACCATCCTTGCCCTTGAGGACCAATCTCCAAGTTTGGAGACTTATAAAATACATGAAAAAACAGCAGGAAAAAATCTGGTGGTTGGAATTATTATTCAGTAGCCAACTATAAGATACAACCTAGATGTCTTGAAATTTAGAAAAACATCAGCTAGGACTTAGAAAGCTGAGGTTTCCCACATAAAGTGGAATTTTTAAACTTTCAGGAAAAAGGGAGAGAAAGGCATTCCAGGCAAAAGGAACTCTGGAAGATAAGTGATCTGAGGCTGGGTAGGACAGTGTACAGGATGAGCGACCACAAGAGACCCACGGATCCCTTGGGAGGGTCTGGGTGAGCAGTAGAAATGGAACATGGAGCCGGACTTCAGGACATGAACGAACACCTGGCATGGTAAGCTGGACCTGCAGTAGAAACTAAATGTAGTGAGCTGGGTGACATGGTGAATGTTGAACTGCTCAGTTTGGATTTCTTACCTACTCTCTATCTCCAATGAGGGAAAAGCAAAAAACAAAAACAAATAACAAAAAACTCACACATGCAAAAACAGTCCTTATAAAGCAAAAGAAATGAGTCATGCCAGCTGAAAGGCACCAGCTGAGTATTGAACAAGAGAGCTCCTTGAGGGCACGGACTCATTACATTACTGAGTACTGTACTGGGAACACATTAGGTACCTAAAAATGCTTGGGGAGCAGTATTTTGATTTGCTGCTGCTCGTTTCACTTGGACCTTTCAGCCCCAAGAAAACAGGCCTGGTCCAGAATTTATAATCCTCCGTTCACATCACCCCTACCCTTCCGCTAGATACCATACCAAAAGGAAATTGAGGACCCTGCCCCCCTCTGCTCCAAGTCTAGGAATCAGGTCACATGGAGTCCAACACTAAGCTTCCACTGCAAAAGATCATCCAGGGAGAGGCTGCGCCAGCAGCACACTCCGTCTAGAAAGTCCCAGACTCTCCTGCGCTGGCTGATGTGGCTCAGTTGGACGGAGTGTTGGCCCATAAACCGACAGGTCGGGGGTTCAGTTCCTAGTCAGGGCACGTACCTAAGTTGTGGGTTCCGTCCCCAGTGTGGGGTACATAGGAGAGGCAACCAATTGACCTTTCTCTACCATATATATGTTTCTCTCCCTCTCCCGCGCCCTCCCCTCTGTCTAATATCAATAACCATGTCCTCAGGTGAGGATAAATAAATAAGGAAGGAAGTCAGTCCCAGACTCTTCCTACGAGAAGTCTCGTCAAGAAACAGTCCCTGGGGCCTCCACTGTCCCTGAGGCCCCAGGCAGTCCCTGAGGCCCAGCGGGGACGGCAGCCACTGAACTGTGCACGCACCCAGAGAGCATAGCACTGTTCTCAGTCCCCGCAGCCAACCAGCAGGAGATGTGACCAGCAAGTGATTCAGACAAGAGGACACCCAACAATCATGCCAGTTCTGATGAGGTCTAGATATGTTTAATGACATCACTCTGCACCATAAGATGCAAGAGTAGGGACAATCTGTGCAAAAAAAAAAAAAACAGGGGGTGTTTATTCAGATACTCTCCAGACGGTGTTGACTTCATTAAACCTATTATCATTTAACCAGCCAGTCACCATGTGCATCACACTGGCAACACAAAACATCAGTCCTCCCCTCAGTGGTGCACCTTCTAAGGCCTGACCCCTCCCTGCTGTCTTCATACCTAGAGGAAAATGGCAAGCCTTGTTCTCTACCAGCTGCAGATCCACAGAATGAAGAGGCTGGCACAACATGAGATGTTTAGTACACAGAAGAATGACCCACCCCTGCACTGCACCAAGCACTTTCACGATGAAAGAATCAGATCCTCACGTAATAGTTGAAAATTTACATGTGTGTGCCTGCCAGGAAATAAACCTTTGCTAGTTAGATACGGCTCAACAGAAATACTTAAATTCCCTTCTGCCAATTCCTGTCATAAGAAACCCCTGGAGGGAGAAGCAAGAGTTCCTCTTAAGCACACACCTTCCAATATCATTTATAAACTTTTCAATGCAAATGAAAGTCAAATCAGAGCAAGTGTCATCTGATAGGTTTCTCTCCTTCTTACCTGAACTTGTGTGCGTATATAGGTACACACGCACATGCTTGCACACACACACTTTTAGGAAAGACATCAGCATGACACGGTTGCTGAAGATTTGAGCACCTCTGTGTGAAAACACAATCACTCTATGCCACGCCAGCCCTGCTTTGACATCAAAAAAAAAACCCACCAAAGAAAAAACACCCGGGGAAAGTAACCAGGAAAGGGAAATGCCTCCTTGAAACAGCTTGAAAAAGGCAATTCTGAGTCAGCCCATGCTGAAACTATTCCCAAACACCAGCCAGGAAGTCCCTCTTTCAGGGTGCTCTGCTGCCCAGCAAACCCGACCTGCCTTTGGTAAAGCTAGATCTCCGGAGAAAGGAGCTTCCCTGGTCTATTCGGCCTCCTGCTGGGTTCCGTCAGCGGCCAGGTCTTCCAACCATGCCTAGCTAACGCACACACAAAAGCTGCTGGCTGCCGCATGAGCTCACATTCACTTCACACACACACACACACACACACACACACACACACACACACGACACAACACACACTTGTAAATACATACCTTTCACCCTCCATTGTGCGAGGCCCAGCGGGGATGGCAGCTGCTGAACTGTACACGCACCCAGAGAGCCTAGTTCTGTTCTCAGTTCTCGCAGCCAACCAGCAGGAGCTCTGATCAGCAACAGTGATTCAGCATGGCTGCAAATGAAGCCTCCTCCCTCTCGATCCTCCTTCCTCTGACTTACTAGCGGCAGCTTGTACCGCAGAAGCAGCAGCCGCAGAAAATGTCTTACCCAGAGCTCCCTGCAGCCCTTTCAGCTGCTAAAAGCAGCAACCCACTTGCTCCCCCTCCCCCGCAGGCTTGCTGCTCCTCCGTCTCCTAGGAACAGCGCAGCTCCAGCGACCCAAGTGCGGTGCCACCTTTCCAGCTGCCTCCACATCTGCCCAGGCATCCCCAGGCTAGGCGACCTGCCCACCCCAAAGGCTTCCCTCTCCTCTGCCTAGACTGCAAAGGCTCAGGCAGTTCCTCACTAGCCCAAGAAATACTGGCCCCCACCTCCGCCCCTGCCCCCATAGGCTAGGAGTCTGTCAGCCTGGCCAGATTGCTGGAATGAGGAGGCCCCTCCCTCTGTGGCTCACAGAGGAGTTTATCCACCTGGAGAAATTGACTTTTAGGTCACAGCTCATGTTCCAGTTCCTTCTCCCAAAAGCTGCAGTGGCTCTGAGAGTCAAGTAGAGAGTAGTTGGAGGAAAGAGCCTACTAGAACTGAGAAGAATGCAAAGAGAAATTAGAAAAGGAAACTAGTCGAAACAGGTGGAATGGAAACAAACCCTATTTTACTGCAAGAGGCCAAATTTCATAGCACAAACCTAAAGCATATTCCTGAAGTCTGTCGCACTGAAATTTGACTAATCTATGAGTCTAACCACTAAGTTTCCCACTGACTCCCCATCTCCAGCCTAAGTGTCTCACATCCTCTTATCTCCACCTGCTGAGACTCCAGTCAGACTCACTTAACTCTAACACATAATCTTGGGGAAGGCAGGAAGCCAGTCTGTCTCCTAGCCACAACCAAGAAGCTTAGAGGTAACTGAGGCAACCAACCACTGATAATTGATTAGGCACAAAAACGGGTTTAGAAGCTTCCCTGGTGCCTCAGTAAATTATACACGAGCATCTCTGCTCTGGGACCCTCCGTGTCACCTCTGGGCTTCTCTGGATCCACTCTACCACTAGCCACCTGAGTGGCTTTCATCAAGTCTCTTCCTCACTATGGACCTCAGTACCTCGTCCATAAGATGGGATGAGACCAGACAATCTCTAGAGTCCTTTTCAACTCTGAAATCATGAGTCTAAAAAATGTCTTAATGTTCCGTTTTTCTTATGACAATAATCTGTGGGATTGTTTTAAGAAGAAAATTTTATCAGACTGTAATTTTTTGTAGGGGGCTTCAGAAAAAGTAAGAGAGATGCTCAAGAAACCTATTATTGTTATAATTTTGGCCTGCTAAGTTTCTGCATTGCTACAAAGCCCTGAAACCAAGGCTTTGGGAAGGAGGGACACTGAGGTAATACAAACTAAGAGTAACTTAAACTTCACACAGCCTGTTGAACTCAAACTTACTAATATGTTATTCTTGAAGATGATGTCCTGACAACTCGGTGACCTCTTAGATTAGGCCGTTACCCAAACTCACTCTTTCTCAAATGAGAAGAAGCCTGGGTGGTCTTATTTGCGAACCACAGCCCTGTTATCACCACTTCCTCCTTTAACAACAATACTCCTCTCGCATCTTTCTCTGTCCCTTCCTCCTCTAATCAGTCTTATGGCTCTACTCCAGACATTTCCTCTTGAGGTAAATCACATGAACCAGGAGTAACTGAACATCACAAATAAGGAGACTGAATCCCAGAATCCATGCCAAAGTGCAGGCATCCATCAGGAAGACAACTGGGTGATTCATAAAAATGACATAAAAATAAGATGAGTCTCTCTTTTATAACTTCATAGTCTCATTCACAACTTCCATACAGGAAACCGGGGCGGGGGGGGGGGGGGGGTGGTGTCACATCTCACAAACCAGAGAGAAAGGAAAAACAAGGCCAGGAAAGGAAATACACAAGGGCTGAACATAGTCGGTTCTAATACACAACTATTGAGAGGCTCTTTAAAATTTTACAAAATTTTCTTTGCAATCTACTTTTGCCAGGCTGTCACTACATGTACGTGCTGAAACCATACTACTACCACCTGCACGCTCCTCTATCCTCCACTCACTCTACGCACAGGAAGTACCAGAACAGAGGTGGTGCAGGGAATGTTTTCGAGAAAAGGCTTAATAGATCCTCACTGAGTAAGATCTAGCGAGATCCTCAGTTCTGGGGCCAGAACTGAGCCAAGAATTAAAGTCTCCAGACTGCTGCCACAAAGTTCCCGCCCTAACTAATTTTCTCCAGTTTGAGCTACAGTTTACATTTTCTACCTTATTATCCAAATGTTCTCTAGGGCCACAACCTGAACCTGTTGGCTCTAGGGTTCATACTGATTGGACTTCAAATTTAGAGTTGCTATGGAATTCTTGCAGTAGAGGGAAGTCAAAGGAACCAAAGTAGCGTCTGCCTGGAGGAAAAGGTCCCATCCTTGAAGCCTAGCAGTAGTGTCTTACCCACTTCCTAGCCCTCCTCGCTACACCCAAGGCTCATTCACAGCTTATCAATAGTGCCCAGAGGCCCCAGCTCTCCACTCCAAAGCAATTTACCCAGCCATCTGCATCAACTTGGTTCAGAATCCCTCATCTCTATGCAGCTCAGGAAGAAACCATGTTAGAAGAAACTTGATGGCTGTTTAAGTGAATTTGGTCTAGAAGGTTCTCTTCTCCACTGTCTGTCTCACCACAAGCAGCCAGTACAGCACAGCTTTTCATTCTTCTTTTTTTTAAATTTATTGGGGTGTCATTGGTTACATAATTTTCAGGGGTACAATTCTATAACACATCATCTGTATATTGTATTGTGTATCCACCACCCCAAGTCAAGTCTCCTTCCCTCACCATTTATCCCCCTTTACCCTCTTCTACCTCTCCCCTACCCTCTTTTCCCTCTGGTACCCCTTTTACCATACTGTTTGGGGGGGTTGCCTAATCCCTTTACCTTTTTCACCCAGCTCCTCTACTCCCGGCCTTCTGACAGTTGTCAGTCTGTTCTCTGTATCTATGAGTGTGTTTCTATTTTATTTGTTGGTTTATTTCATTCATTAAATGCCACATATAAGTGAAATCATATGGTACTTTCTATGACTGGCCTATTTTACTTGGCATAATACTCTCCTCTTCCTTCCTTTTAAGTCTCATTCTTCCTTTTAAGTGTTTTTTTCTGCTTTTGTCCTCCTCCAGAACTTCAGTTCCCCACATTTGCAGGTACCATAACACAATACAGTGGTCCGCACCTAGCTGTGCAGCAGCAAAAACATCTGCCCAGCTGATAAACACTGTAGTCATCAGGGAATCAAAAGACTCAGCAAACTCTTTAGGGTTACAGAACTGTTTCATATCTTGACTATGGTGATACTTACACAATTATATATGACTATTACATTTCATCAAACTAGATACTTAAAATGAGTGAATTTTATGTTATGTAAATTATACCTCAATAAATCTGGGAAAATGAAAACATTACAGGACCAGGCTCTACCTCACAACAAGAGGGTTAGGGCCCAAGAAGCAAGAATTTTAATGAACTTTATAGGTGACTCTAATGCACAGCTAAATGCAAAGTCCACTTAGAACAATGAAAAGATTTCTCACATCATTTGATCAGACAGGGCCCAAATATATTTACCAGAAACATAACCCTAGGCAAGTTTCTTTACAAGTCTCAATTTTCTCACCTGTAACAGGGAGATAATAATGATACCTACCTCCCAGGGTTGTTAGGTTTCAATGTGAAAGTATGCAAAGCACTTAGCAGAGAGCCTGGCCTACAATAAGCACTCAGTAACCATTAGCAGCTATTATTTGCATTGCCTATGCCAATGCTACCAAACCACACCTCTCTGAGTCCTTGGTTCTGAGGTCAAGAAGTTAGCCGGGGTAGCTAATCCAGGAAGCACAGCCATGGGCCTCTCCTAAAACCATTTCCAAAACTCCAGCAAACAACTACTACTAATAGGTCACCAAGGATTAGGCAAAACCAGAGCTAAATTAAGGCCTACCCACATCTGTATCGGCAAAACTTTCCCCCAGATCCTGGACACTTGATGAGCAGAATCTACCTATAAGCTGCTTAGTGTCCTTAGCCCAGGAAGACAGGCAGAAACTGAAAATTACCTTGAAACCCCAAAACATCAAAAGGTAAACAGAACAGCACCTTATCCAGAGTAATGTTTGGCTTCCCTCTGAACTCTTCCTCTGAGAGTAGAAGAACCCATGCCCTGAGTAGATAGATACAAGAGAATAATCACCCACCACATTTATGTTGCCCTTTAATGCTTGCAAAGTGTTTTGCATCCCTCATCTCCTTTGATTTAAGATAACATCCCCTGAATAGTAATAACAGGTCCCACCCCATTTTATTTACTTTGGGCCAGATTCAGTAAAGACCCAAGACTTTACATGTACCGCTGTCACTTAATCCTCACTATAGAAGGGACTATTGTCCTTGATTTGAATGTGGGGTATAGAGAAACACAACAGATTTTTATGTATTGATTTTGCATTGTTCAATCTTACTGAATTTGTTTATTAGTTCTAACAGTTTTTTGATGGAGTCTTTAGAGTTTTCTGCATGTATCATCATGCTATCTGTAAATAGTTGTAGTTTTATCTCTTCCTTTCCAATTTGGATGCTTTTAAATTATTTTCCTTGCCTAATTGCTCTGGCTAGGAATTCCAATTATTATGTTGAATAAAAGTGGTGGAAGTGGCCATTGTTGTCTTGTTCCTGATTTTAGAGAAAAGGCTTTCAAATTTTTACCATTTAGTACAATGTTAGCTGTGGGCTTAACATATGTGGGTTTTATTATGTTGAGGTACATTCTCTCTATACTCACTTTAATGTGAGTTTTTATCATAAATAAATGTTGAATTTTGTCAAATGCTTTTTTGCATCTATTGAGATGATCCTATGGCTTTTATCCTTCATTTTGTTAATGTGTTGTATTACACTGACTGATTTTCATGTGTTGAGTCATTCTTGCATCCAAGGGCTCGATCCCACTTAATCATGGTGAATGATCTTTTTAATGTACTGCTGAATTTGGTTTGCTAGTATTTTGTTGAGTATTACTGCATCTATGTTCATCAGGAATATTAGCCTATAATTTTATTTTCTTGTAGTATCCTTCTCTGGTTTTGGTGTCCGAGTAATACTGATGTCATAAAATGAGTCTGGAAGACTTCCCTCCTCTGTTAGAACTAATAAATTCTGGGATTTCTGGCCAAGATGGAGGTGTAGGTGAAAACACTGTACCTCCTCGCACAACCAAATTTAAGGACGACAAAGATTTAGAAACAAAAACACAACCAGAACAGACAGAAAACTGAACTGTACAAAAGTCCATCAACAACAAA